AATCTTCACTACAGATCACTTCTTTTTTGGTAATAGAGGAAGCTCCTCCTATATTATTCATTGCTATCGGCTTAGACAATGGTTGTATATATTGCATCCAAGGGGATATAGCACGGGAGCGTATAAAGCGGTTCAGACTCCAGGTAGATAATCATTCCAATAAAACCCATGCTTCCATTACTGGCCTTGGATTTAGAGCAGATGGACAGGCCCTCATGTTGTTTGCTGTAGCTCCAGAATCTGTTAGCATATTTAACCTCCAGACTCAACCACCTAGCCAGCAAACTCTTGATCAGATTGGATCTTCTGTTTCTAGTGTTGCAATGACTGATCACTCGGTATGCCAATTTAATGGAGTAATTTCATTTTTATTTTAATTCATTAACTTGATGTCACATTATGTGTTTATTCAATACAAAGCTCTGAGGTTGTTCTCTTGTAGGAGTTGATAATCGGTAGACCAGAGGCTGTATACTTCTATGAAATTGACGGTCGGGGTCCTTGTTGGGCATTTGAAGGAGAGAAGAAGTTCCTTGGCTGGTTCCGTGGATACCTTCTTTGTGTTATTGCTGATCAAAGAACTGGGAAAAACACTTTCAATATTTATGATTTGAAGAACCGGTTAATTGCTCACAGTGTGGTGGTAAATGATGTTTCGCATATGCTTTGTGAATGGGGTAACATAGTTCTCATAATGGAAGATAAATCTGCTTTATGCATTGGTGAAAAGGATATGGAGAGTAAGCTAGATATGCTTTTCAAGAAGAATCTTTATACTGTTGCTATTAACCTAGTCCAGAGTCAACAAGCTGATGCCGCTGCCACAGCTGAGGTGCTGAGGAAATATGGGGATCATTTATATAGTAAACAGGAATATGACGAGGCTATGGCTCAATATATTCACACCATTGGCCATCTGGAGCCTTCATACGTCATACAGAAGTTCTTGGATGCACAACGAATCTACAACCTTACCAATTACTTGGAGAAGTTGCATGAAAAAGGGCTTGGTTCAAAAGACCATACAACCCTGTTGTTGAATTGCTATACTAAACTGAAAGATGTTGAGAAGCTAAATGTATTCATTAAATGTGGGGATGCAGTTGGGGAACATAAGTTTGATGTGGAAACTGCAATAAGGGTATGTCGAGCTGCAAATTATTACGAACATGCGATGTATGTTGCCAAGAAGACTGGGCGACATGAATGGTACTTAAAGATCTTGCTTGAAGACCTTGGTCGATATGACGAAGCGTTGCAATATATTAATAGTCTTGAACTGAGTCAGGCCGGGGTGACGGTTAAAGAGTATGGGAAAATTCTTATAGAGCACAAACCCACCGAAGCAATTGAGATACTGATGAGGCTTTGCACAGAAGAAGGCGAAGCCAGCAAGAAGGCCTCCACTAGTGTTACATATGTTTCCATGTTGCCATCTCCCATTGATTTTCTTAATATTTTCGTCCACTACCCACATTCACTCTTGGAGTTCCTTGAACAATATACAAGTAAAGTTAAGGACTCACCTGCTCAAGTGGAAATACATAACACACTTTTGGAACTATACTTGTCTCATGATCTTGACTTTCCATCAATTTCACAGACTAGTATTGGTAGAAATGGAAATGCTAGAGCAGAATTGCCATCTGCTCCCAAAGCAGGAGTTAATGGGGGGAAAATTATGAATACGAAAGAGGCAAATGAAGAAAAAAGTCGCCACGAAAGACGTAAGAAGGGACTGAAATTGCTTAAGAGGGCGTGGCCTTCTGAACAAGAACAACCTCTATACGATGTTGATCTTGCCATAATTTTGTGTGAAATGAATGGCTTCAGGGAAGGATTGCTATTTATTTATGAGAAGATGAAACTCTACAAGGAGGTAATTGCATGCTACATGCAGGTGCATGATCATGATGGTTTAATTGCTTGCTGCAAGAGACTCGGTGACTCGGAAAAAGGTGGCGATCCTTCTCTTTGGGCAGAAGTATTAAAGTACTTTGGCGAACTTGGGGAAAACTGCTCCAAAGAAGTGAAAGAAGTATTAACTTATATTGAAAGGGATGATATCTTGCCTCCCATTGTTGTTCTTCAGACTTTGTCGAGAAATCCGTGCCTTACACTTTCCGTTATCAAAGACTATATAGCTCGTAAGCTGGAACAAGAGTCCAAGTTGATTGAAGAAGATAGGAGAGCTATTGAAAAGCATCAGGTTAAACATCGATCTATCTATACTTTATTTTTCCCTTCTTTTGCCTTTGTTCAAACAGATTCTAGTGCATTGCCCAACTTGCATTTGGTATATGTGAGGACTTAGGTTATACAAAAATATGTTTTTATCCTTCTTGATGTAAGAGTAAGTGATGACTTTAACTATATCTGGAAATTTGCTACTTGATGAAACTGGATCTTGTACTTTTTTTGTCTTTACGATTAATTTATGTAGAATACATGCTTAGCAACTGATGAATTATTTGTGACAAATATTCAAACTGTGTTTGCACACGTCTTGCCTATTCTATTTGAAAATCTATGTTCAGCTGCTTCCCTAATGCCAATTACTGAATGGTGCAATTGTTCAAAACTTCTATCCTACAAATTAATAGAGGTTAAATTATTCCAGAATCAGAAGGGTTTTGAACTTCACCATTTCAAATATTGCAGGAAGAGACTTCCACAATGAGAAAAGAAATCCAAGATCTTAGGACCAATGCCAGAATATTTCAGCTCAGCAAATGCACCGCTTGCACATTCACACTCGACCTTCCTGCTGTCCATTTCATGTGTATGCACTCCTTCCATCAGCGTTGCCTTGGCGACAATGAGAAAGAATGCCCAGAGTGTGCTCCAGAGTACAGAGCTATTATTGAGACAAAGAGAAGCTTAGAGCAAAGCTCTAAAAGCCAAGATCTCTTCTTCCAGCAGGTTAAAAGTTCAAAGGATGGATTTTCAGTTATTGCAAAATATTTCGGGAAGGGGATTATCAGCAAAACTAGCACCAATGGGATCGCTGATAAGCCAACCAACCCTCCTCCCATTAACGAGTTTTGAAGTTTCAATCCACCATTTTTTCTTGAAAAATTTAATGCACGCCGCGACAAGTATAGAGAATGGTACATTCTCCATAAGAATGTCACGGGTACGTGTGAAGATCACCACATACACCTGCAACATAGCTGGATCTCTTCGGATCACCCTACTTATGGTATATGTTAAGTTGATCTTTGTTGCTGGGTTTGCTCCTTAAAAACTTAATGTTTGCTGTAGAGTGCCACTTGGTGTTTGTTTCTCTTGAAGTGTACAATTCTGGTTTGATGGGAATTTAAAATTCCATAATTCATGTTAGGAAATTGTCGTTTATTTCTACTATTCTGTCATTTTAATCATTTTCTCATGAAAGGCTCTCATAGAGTCAGAAAATTCTCCCTCTCTCTCATGCAACATGCATAGTATATTGGCTTGTCTGAGTATGTGTCTCTATTTAAAGTTGAAACTTACTCCGTAATTGTTTATCATAAGCAACTTCGGGTCCGTTACATGAATTGATAGAAGCGTCATGGTTTGATGATTCACAATTTATAAGAATGTGAGAAGATTTCAGTGCTATTCAGGGGGGCTCAAAAATGAGAGAGGCTTTGTGCAAAAATATTTTTAGACTCTGTTTTGTTTTGTATGGAGTATTTGTATTTTAAAATTAGTGTTAAATTTGATTTTTAATGGCTACTTGTATATACTTGGACTATTAAAATACATATTTATACATTCAGAAAACTAATTTGAAAAGCATCAAATGATTAGAACCATGAATCTTCCTATTTACAACAGTAGCAAGATATTATTCTGCCTAAACTTATGTGCCAATTTATTATCCTGTCATTTACGTTTTATGAAAAATCCATTTATATTTTTTACTAACTTATCTGAAGTTTCTGGCTTCTCTAGTGAACTATTTACAAATATCATTTTGAATTTAAGAAAATTTAATACAACAAATCAAACAAATGATTAAGATTAATATATCCAACTTAATTTATGCAGAACATTAGGAAAATAAACGGCAGTATCATTTCACATAAAAAAGCATATGAGATCTAACATTATTAACGTTTCAAACAAGGGTGCTGCACTTCTGTAATGTAGATTAATGACATTTTTTTTCTAGAAAATAATTAACCAATCCAAACCACAAGGCAACACTCCTCCAATTTCGTGGATAGGCAGCATTACCCCACTTTCATTAACAGTCAGCCCCCACTTTCTCAATCTGCAACCCTTTCCTGCTCACTATAAAGGAAGGGCTAAAGGTGATGCTTCACCCCCATTAAGGCTTTGTTCTTAGAAGCCATTCAAACATGCAAGCAACAAAAAAAAAAACAAACAATGTCAGGAGAAGTTAAGGCTAAGGTTGGCCAGTGGTCTCTCCTAAACCTAAAAGATGTTGACTGCACCAAGAATGAGTTGGGCACTTAGAATGAGGAGGTAAGAATTTAAATTATTCAAGTGCTTACTTCATTGTTTTTTCTACTTTCATGAGGAATGAATTCTACTTTCTATAGGGAAGAAGAATCCATGGGGCAAATTCAGAGGTCACAAATTAAAGGGGGTGTATTCAATTAGAAGTCTGTAAGATTTTTTTGGACTTTAAGAAATCGGTGGATTTAGAAAATCCATTGACTCCATGCAGAGTTTGGAAGACTCTTTTATTGATTTACATGGAATTTTATATACTTGAGGAGATTTGTTTATTGATTTAGATGGATTTCATGTTTGTTCAACTTTATTGTTCATCCATATTGAATCAAGTACAAATAAAATAAGCACTACAGAATTCAAGTACTGCAAAATTTTTTTAAACAAGGACGACAAAACAAATAATCTAATAAGCACTGCAATTCTGCAAATAAGTACTTCAAATAACCACTGCAATTCTTCAAGGAACACACAAATACATAATGAATGAAAACCTCTCAAATACCACTAAGAAACACTACAGACTTGCGGAACTTCCTGGTCACCAACATCCTCCAGCCATGGGACAGCACCTGGTATTCGGATGGTATAGAGTACCTGGTAGAGCTCGTCCCGGAACGGTATGTTGCCGACTCTGGATCTGTTGTACGGCGACGACGGGCACTTTGAGGTGTAGATGCTGAGGAATCCCCGCTCCACTCGGGCATCTCCGTGCCCGATCGGCTGCAATTTGTTCTGCGTGTTCTCGTACCACTCCGTCGGCGTCACCGTCCCCCGCCACGCCACCGCAATGTCCCTCCGCCCGATCCGCCGCGTCTCCTCGTCGTCGCTCACGGCCACGAATCCGATCCAATTCGAGTTCTTGCTCCATCTGTTGACCCGTCGCTGGGGATTTCTCTGGGATTGCTTGTTTAATTTTGGGACTCTAGGTCTGCAGGGGAGATCGAGGGTGGGGATGACCGGAGAAGATGAAGAACCGTGCGGGAAGAAGAGAGAAAGATCCGGCAGATTTGGAGTCCAACAAAATCCCTAGGCTTTTGGTTGGATTTGAAAACAAAATTTTTATTTATACTTCAGGTCTAAAATCCTTTACAATCCATGTTATATAACACTCCTTCAAAATCTATCATTTTTTCAATATCATTAGATTTAGAAAGATTTTATAAAATCTCCGTTGAATACCTACAGATTTTAAATAATTTTTTAAAATCTCAATTGAATACACACAACTTTTAAAATCCAAAAAAATCCTACAGAATCTCGATTGAATACACCCTCCTAAGTGTTTTAAACCAAAAATCAAGGAGGGAGGTGTTTATGCACTATGCAATTTCTTGGTTCATAACAACTATCAAGCGTACAAGACCACAGAGCACCCCTATCTGTTGGTTTTCTACAAGGACACAAAGCATTATGATATCAGTTCTTACATTGCAAACTTTAACAACTTTCACACATTAGATAGCCTCTTGGCACAACCAAGCCTAAATGACAAAGTACTGATTGGTAATAGTTCTACTTTGACTTTGTAAAATTCAAAGCACATGATATAAATTAAATTTAAAAATTTTTGTGGCACTCAAATTAGAAAAAAAATTTACTTACGTTGGTTTATACTGAGTAAACATATTCTTACTTTGCATTATTCATCCAAAAAAAATAAACATCAGGTACCTGCAAGGAATACATTAGGCTATAATGGACGGGCATGCAAGGAATACATTAGTACATTGTTTTTAAAAATTGGACGGTTCTGCTGGCCCGTAATGGGTCTATCTTAAATCACATATCCCTGCTTTCTAAAATCTGGCCCGCCCCGCTCATATGAGTGATTTTTGTTTTTGATGTCTTTTTTAAGGTTGACTAGACAGACGATCATTGTTTGCATATGTCTATGACCTCCATACTTTATTATACCATGATGCATACACGTAGCTATTCCCTCCGTCTTAAAACCTTTTTCCTACTTCCCATTTTTATTGTCCTAAAACTACCTTCACACACACAAAATAAGGTGTAAAATGACAAGACTACCCACAACCTTTATTTTAAGCCAAAAACCACCTTTCTCTATATTTGCTCCATTCTCACCTTATCTGATCTATTCTATAGTTTTCGCCTCCTCTATCAAAACCCTATATCTATATCTTCATCTCTCCATATTGCCTCTCTCTGTCTCTCCTTCTCCGCTTCTCTCTATTTGTCTATAACTCCATCGCCCTCTCCCCATCTCTCTATACCTTCCCTCTCCCATAAAACCCTAGATATAATCTTCATTGCCTCGCGTACATATGGATTCTGTCAATTTTCAATATGAATCTTAGTTCCCTGAGACTAAGATTCAATTTCAAGGGATGAGCTTTGAAGATGAGAAGGAAAAGGTTGATGTTTCAGACATAGAAGACAGAGAGAGTGAGCCGGATGATGCTCAACCTGACTCTAATCCTCTCTCATGCGCCATCAAGGTCAATGCTAAAAGTGAATATGAGGAAAAAGAGGTGGAGGATGAGCCCATGCAAGGATTTGGGAGCAATTCGGATGAACACCAGGAGCATGGGCGAGAGGGCATGGGGCGAGAGGAGGGGTAGGCCAGAGACTGGGTGCCTGGTCTTGACATGAAAACATAGACAAACGAATTGATTTGTCAATAAATTGGTATTTAAACACATCATATTTTCAAAACACTTTAGAACATTTAATTCAAAATAATATTTAAATATCATAAATTCATGCTGAGTTATTACTTAAATCAAAGCACAACTTTGAGTTCTAATTCGAAAAACATCATAAATTCATGCTGAAATATTAAATTAACCACCACCACAGCCAGCATGCATCTCCCTATCCTCGCTACCGTCCAAGATTTGTTCTTTATTCATCATTCATCTTACCTACGCGTAGCAAGTAAACAAACTACATGCTCAACTTTCACGTACGTTAAGTGAGAGGTTTTAACAGTAGAAGTCACACATGTTAGTCGGTGTGCCCACACCTTAAAGGAGGGGTGAATAAGGCGTTTAAAAACTTTTTAGAGTTTAGTAAAATTGGTGTTGACAAATGCAAAAGCAATAAATAAAGCGCAAAAATAAAAGTGTAAAGTAAAGACATACCAATTATTTAGACTGGTTCAGGAATTCCCTACTCCAGTACCTTAAGGCTCCTTCTTAAGGATTTCCGAATTCACTAAGTCTCGGTCTCTTGAACTCCGTCAAAGCACCGCACAAGTTTTGGCAAACAACCCTTTTCAATAAGATTCACCCCCGAGATTCCACCACGGCTATCTCGAACAGCTTACAACAAAGATTTCATGACTATCTTCAACTGTTTCCCCCGAGAATTTACTAGGCTATCCTTGAACCTTCTAAACAAGGATTTATACAACTATCCTTGACCATTACAACTTGAGAATTTAACGACTATTCTTGACCGTAATAAGGTGTGTATAAATAACACAAAAATAGGTTCTACACTACGGCTTCATCCCAATGATGAAGAACAAACGTTAGTCGGTGTAGAACGAAAATATACTCTCTCAAAAATAAATTATAGACCTATGAATATGAAAGTATATATCTAAACCACAAGCTCAAAAGTGTGTGTATGAAAATTAGGAGAATTGGAATAAGATTTTTAAAATAGCTAAAATATAAAGAATGAAGAATAAAAAGATGAACACACTTAAAATATAAAAGTATGATGTTTGGAGCTAGGTTTCTTGTAAAAACATTAAGGACTAAGACTATATTTGTAGTGGAAAAAATTAAGTATCCGTTTGAGATTAATTAGGGTGGATTTTGACCAAAAAAAGATGATTAAAGGAAGATACAAACTTGCAGGAACTTCTAAGTGTTTAAAGTGAATGAATGTTTAATTAGTAGGGCTGGTCTTTTATTAAAGGAATATATAGGGACATTGAGAGGATGGACCAAGTTACAACACCCCAACACATCAAACAATAAGGTTCAGAAAGGAAAGTGAGAGGTGACCCTCAATCCCTCATGTTGGCCAACCTCTAAACATGAGGTGTCAATGAATCAAGAGATATGTGCAGGGATTCTAAGTTGATTTAAAAGGAATATTTGTAAAATTGGGTAACAATCTTGTTCTAGAAGAAATATTTATCTATTTAAATTTTGGGTTATTTTCCAAATAGAGCTCGATTTTGAAGCTGATCGCGTTTTTGAACTCGAAAAAATAAATGGAACGCAACGATATGTTAAAAATATTTTTATTTTTCAGGGCACTAGAGCTCACACAGTCAAAATTAGTAATTTACGTAGTTAATTCTTTTAGACCAGCTTTCGTGGTGTTACAAAAACTTAAAAAACAAATACTACTTAGTTGCCACCATTATGTCGTGGTTGTGCTTTAGCTCCATCTCTGACATCATCGACGTATCTATTGCCATGAGTTTGCCGAGTTTGGTGCAATGAACAACCAAGCTTATACTCTAAAGGCTACTATTCATTTTGTCCACTGCCAACTATAAGGGTGGGAGTGGCATACTAGGAGTTGCCATGGCCTTCCCCTTCATTTTCTTTGCCACCTTTGTCTCAATCGGGCGGCTCTGACTGCTAGGTTTGCCGCTCGATCCAAGAGAGAAGTCATCCTCCGTGGTGTTGAGATCAAAGGAATGTCTCCCCCGCTCTTTGAGTACAAACTAGTCTCGGAGAGTTTTGATTGCTTCGGGTCCTGATCATCTGGTCTCCGCCCAGATGCTGAATTTGGGGCTCCTCTGCAGAATTTCCTAGATTTCCTGGAACTTGAATGTAACACCCTAATCCGTCCAGGTCTGCAGCCCGTTTCTCACTAAAGTTGTAATTTAGTAATCGTAAAAATTTAAAATGTTTCAAACACTTTTATTCATCATAAAATATTATTCATAACAGTAATAAAATTTTCAATGTTGCGGAAGCTTAACTTATCACAGTCACAGAATATAATTAATTTATGTCTTTTCAAATATTAGTTCAAAACCATCACATCCATCTCGACAGTCTCGCCCTCGTCTGCCGCCAAGATCATGTCACATTATTCCTTCCATTTTTCTGCGTGTAGCAAATAACAAAACATACTGCACACTCAGCGGTGAAGCTGAGTAAGGATATCTAATGCATCGAACATCCACATAAATTGAATCTCAATTCACAAACAAATCATTTCATACCAAGTACATAATATTCAATTCAAGCATTCATCTTCCATAATGTTCACAGTATTCAATTCGGGTCATTTCATGTCATAATCAATATTCAATATTCATAATGTCAATAGTGCTCTTAAATTATTTCTAGTATAAGGCCAAATATATAATGTTTACCAACTCTTAAACTATATTCTAGTTTAAGATACTACTAACCAACTCTTAAACTATAGTTAGGTTAAGGTACATATTTCTAACCAACTCTTAAGCTAATCTATTTTAAAGTACAATTTTTAAAAAGGTTTTCCAACTCTTAAATTAGCTTTAACTTAAGATACACAAATCGTTTTGGTATCAATAATTTGAAGTTTTAACAAAATTTGGACTGTAATTAGTTTATCGGGCCCACTTGTAACCCTAAGCCCGCTTGTACTTGTATATATACACTTGCTTGTGATTAGTAAAATCAGATCAGTTTTACTCTAAATTTTACATGGTATCAGAGCCAAAACCCTAGACTTGTGTGCGTTTCTGCTCTCAGGCGGTGTGCAACGCCGTGTTCCTTGTGTTCTTTTTTTGCCGAACAGTCTCCTCCTCTTCAACGGAAGATCTGTTCAAGTTGCAGGTTTTCTGCCTTTTAATTGTTCCTTTTTGTGTGGTGCTGCTAATCTACATCATACAATTTGATATTGTGCGCTGCCTATTTGACATTGGGTGTTGCTGCCAGATTTTTTTTTCTTCTCTCTTTTGGTTTTAATCGGTCTTCGATTGAGCACCGCTGCAGTGTAGTGCTGATCGGCTGAGGAGGTATTCTGTTTTCTTGATTTGCTGAATTTGGGCCCGTGCCTTTTAAGGGGGAGTATCGCAATCGGGCTGCTCTTTTGTATTTGTTACTGCCCTGTGTTTTCTCTGTTGATTCTGCACATCTACTTCTGAAAAATTATACGGAATGTCTCGTCCTGTGCCCTGTGAGTGGCTTGTGGACAGTGGTGCGTCTCATCATATGACAGGGGTGCTTTCGTGTTTGACTGATGTAGTGCAGCGGCCTCCTTGTACTATAAGCTTGCCCGATGGGGCTCATGTGATGGCCAACTCGTGTGGACAAGTGCAAGTCTCTCCGACTTTGGTTTTAACTGATGTTCTTTATGTGCCTAATTTAAAGTGCAACTTGATCTTTGTGAATTGTCTTGTCAACTCTCATAACTGTCATGTTTTCTTTGATGACCAATTTTGTGTGATACAGGACCGAACTTCGAAGACGCAGATTGGACGATGTGAAGTGCGCAATGGAGTTTATGTCCTTCCATCCTTCGCCCAAGCGTCCAAAGCCGAGTCTATTTCTCTTTTGCATCAGCGTCTTGGTCATCCGTCACCT